TGTGTTGATACAACCCAGCCCCGTGGCCAGAGCCTGGGACAGCCCTGCCCCTGGCTAGAGCCCAGTGTGCTACATTTGAACTTCTTTTTTTTTTTTTTTTGTAGAGGTTTTTGCTATAGGACGCGTATGCTCGCCAGACCGACAGACAGAAAGCGAGAAATCACCCGCCGGGGGGATGACCACGCCATAATCCCTTCTCCTTCATTCTCCTCTTGGGATCTTGGGCACGCACGCACACGCGCCCGGCGTGAGTTCAAGCCACCAGGTCCGGGACTTGAACCGTGGTCGACTGCTTGGGAGTCCAGCAACATAGCCATTATGCTAACTGCTGGTCCCCTGAACTTTTTCATCTTTTCACGCCAGTCTTTTCCTCTAGGGTTGGATCTGTGGCCCATGAACAGCTTTGAACGGTTCCAAATTCCTATGTGATGCTGGGCTTATGAGCCTTTGCCTTCCTCTAAGGAAAAAGTTACTGTACAGATGACTTGCCATTTGGATCGTGCCAGGCACTACTTTATGGATAAGGAAAGAGAATGTTGGAGGATTGAGGGAATTGCACTGGACCACAGAGCCTGCACAGAGGAGGCTGGCTTCACAGGTGCCTGGCTGCTCACTCAGGGTGTTTCTCTGCACCACAGGGTCCACCTCCGGGTCTCAGAGGAGAGGAAGGGGGGCCAGGCAGACCCTCCTGCTAGGGAGGAGGCAGGATCGGATCAGAGGGCACAGTCCCACGTGAACCCCAGGAACTGCCCGGGCCTCATCCTCTTCACTTTCTCCTCGCTTCCCAGTTCCTTGCACCAGAACCTCCGTCTCCCCAGTTCATCTCCAGCAGAAAAACTGTGTCCAAAGTTCTAGTTAGCATTCCTCTATTTAAAGTATACGTGTATCCCTTTCCATTTTTCTGAGAATTTTTACATCTCATCAATTTGCTTAACAGAAAAAAAGTTGTGCTTCCCTCTTAGGCAGAAGCCAGTTACGTGTTGCTGGTGACAGAAATGAAGCCCTCGACTGGCGGCAGAGTGGGGAAATGCGTTGATAAAACATGATCCATGATATCTCCGGAGACCAGTGCTTGGCCAGAAGCACTCGGCTGGGTCGGGAATGGACTGAGTGTCCTCGATTCACTTCTCCATCACCAGGTTACCTGCTTTGTGACGATAAGCAGAGGACGATTCCGAGAGATAGAGTATGTGTGTGCGTGTGTCCATCCGTGTGCCTGTGCGGCGGCTTCCCTGCAGTGTAGGTTTAGGAGAGGGGTTGGGAGCATGCACTCTGGTCGTTTGCTGTAGCCGCACACCAGGTGTGCAGGGCTGAACTCAGCCATAGTGACTTTCTCACTGCGGTCCCAGCCAGGGGAGACCCTTCTCCGTTTTGGAACGCTGCTATCTGTCCAGGTTCCAGTGGCGAAAGGAGAGTGATGGGACCACAAGAGTTTTTCTTCCTTTTTCTTTTCCAACCCAAGATAATTCATGTATCTTACATTTAGTCCATTGAAATGGAGGCAGTCCATGGTTTGGGGCATACCCACTGAGCTGTGCGACCATCACCACAGCAATTGCACGTCTTTGTTTTCCCCAAGGAGACTCCACACACGGTAGCAGCCATGCTCCATTTCCTGCCTTGTCCCCTTGTCTGTCTGTCTGTACTTGTGTTTGTTATATCTAGGGGTTTCAAACTCAGTTACACTGGGGCCAGATGGTGG